CAACGTTTAATAGTGAGACCAAAATCTTGAAAAATCGAAGGCAAAATGTCATCCAATTAACAAGTATAATAGAATAAGCCTAATCTACCAAACTAGATAATCAAGGATTAAAGTAGGGAGAAACTCATGAATTAGTATTACACCAAGGTAGCCGCTACACTTGATCCTCCGCCGATTTCGCACACTCGCCTCCAATAATCCTCGACACCGTAGCTCTTTGATCACACTTGGACTATAAACTCGTTCTCACCACTCTCAATATTGTGGTTCTGCTTGTGTGTCACCCTGGGGTGGATGATTGGAGGTTTTTATAATTGAGAACAACATAGGTTTTCTCGATTTCAAAGAGATAAAATTGTAGTATAAGATAATTCTTCATCTTTTGCTTGAATTTCGGAGAGGAGGGTTGAAGATAAGCATGGAGGTTGGAGCCTCGGTTTTGACGGAAGACTGATGATTTTTCTTCTGATCTTCTCTTCTTTTTCCATCCTTTTATTCTACTTTTTTGCTGCTTGATGTTGTATATCACGTGCTACTTGTTGTTGTTCTTTTCTTTTTTTTTTTTCCTTTCTTTTGCAAACAATGTTATAAGTGGCCTCTCTTGTTCTCTATTTGAAGTTGTTGAGTAGGTTTTGTCTTCCACTTTATCCTACCATAAACACACGACAAAATGTTAAGTATCAATTATAAAAAAAATAGCTATAAAATAAAATATTAACATAAACTAAGAACTAAAATTATAAAAGTAAATAAATTCCTAAAATAATAAACAAAAGGCAATAATAATACTAATATTAGGGACCAAAAATATGGTATATTATGCACTTATCAAAGTTGTACCTTGTTGTAAGTACAATAGGATGCATTGTTCAGTGAATTAAGACAACTAGCTAATTTTCATATTGAAACTGAAGTTAACTAGCTACTTAGACTCTCAAGTAATGAGTTTCTTGCCTTTTTCATACGAACCCCTTAAAGACTCATTTCTAGTTGCTCTTCTAGAGATTGCAGCTCCTCTATGTTTAGACCGGAGAGCTTTTGTCCCATAAGTTGCCTGCCTTATCAGAATGGAAATGAAGTCCCTAAATAAGGGTATATGAACTCTTTGTTTTAGCTACTCTTTTATATATTAATTGAACTACTACACCAAATCATAATTACCCAAATGCCTCTTAAGTTTTCTATTTAAGGCAGATAGTTTCTGCAAATATGGTTTATCTTGATTTGTATTGTTTATTTGATGGTGGCTCTTAAAATACTAGAAGAATGATTATACTTTGATATGGATTCTCCCCAATATTATTAGTTTAAGGCTTTTTAATTTTCTTTACTATTTACACTTGGCTCTTTTTAATATCTCATTTCTTTTTCATTGTTACTAGATTAATGTAAAGTGGGTCATAAATTTGTATGAATATAACTTTGATACTCCTTGCTTATTACACTTGATAAAGTTGTCCTTGGCAATAGAAATACACTAGTTTTAAGTATTCTGATTTTTAGAGTAGTTCTCTTTCTTCCTAGTGGCAATAGAAATACACTTGATAAATGTTTTTACAGGAAAAATTAATTAAAGTAACCCTCTTAAATCTTATCCTAAGGTATGGATAGTGGAACTAAAGAGTGGTGGATGTTTGCCAAATGGAGTGATGAATATGAGCGGGGAGTAGATGAATATGTACAAAAGGCTTTTGCTTTCAAGTCTCAAGGAAATCAAATTTGTTGTCCTTGTGAAAGTTGTCACTATCGTTTTTGGCGTCATGAAAGTGTTGTGAGAGATCACCTTATTTGTGATGGTTTTGTTCCTCAAACGGATAAGTTATCAGAGTTAGGGATCAACATTAGCATTGAAAGGGAACAGACTATTTTGGATAATGATGAAGGGTCAAACCCAAATGATTTTAATGATGACATAGTAGGCTTGTTGCATGATGCACGTGATGCTTTTACAAATGGGCCAAATGACGAGGCAAAAAAGTTTTATAAGTTAGTTGAAGAGGGCTAGGAAGAATTGTATGTCGGTTGTAAAAATCATTCAAAACTTTCCTTCATGATTCGGCTTTTTATTTTGAAGTGTGATCATATAAGCTAACTAATGCTGCTTTTGGAGATATATTGGAGCTTATAAGGGAGGTGTTACCTGATGCAAAACTACCAGCTTCATTTAATGAAGCAAAAAGTGTTTTGAAAATGTTAGGGTTAGATTACACTAAAATAGATGCATGCCCAAATGATTGCATGATATACTGGGAAGAGCATGAAAATGCAACAAGCTGCCATGTTTGTGAGACGCCAAGATGGAAATCAACTGACACAGAGAATGACATACAAAATGAAAATGGAAAGACGTATAGGATTCCTCAAAAGATTCTTAGGTATTTTCCAATAAAGAAAAGGCTTCAACGGCTATTTATGTGTCAAGAGACGGCGAGATACATGACTTGGCATGCTAATGGCCATGAAAATGATCATCTTTTACATCATCCAGTTGATGGTCAAGCATGAAAGGAATTTGATTCTTTATATCCAAAGTTTGCTGATGACCCACGCAATGTGAGGCTTGGGTTAGCCACAGATGGATTTAGCCCATTCAACTCAATGAGCATTGTCCATAGTACATGGCCAGTTATGTTGATTAATTATAACTTGCCTCCTTGGATGATTATGAAGCCCGAGTATCTGATGCTTTGCCTTACTAATTCCCGGCCCGTCTTCCCCTGGCAATGACATTGACATATATTTGCAGCCACTTATCAAGGAATTAAAGGATTTGTGGGAGTTTGGGTTGGAAACTTATGATGCTTCGACTAATCAAAGGTTTGACATGCATGTAGCATTGATGACTACCATGAGTGATTTTCCGGGTTATGCAATGTTGTCTAGGTGGAGCACAAAAGGATACTTGGCATGCCCTGAATGTCATTACGAAACAGATTCTGAATGGTTGCCTTGTAGTGGTAAGAATGTGTATAGGTCAAATCGTAAATTTTTGGATCCATCTCACCCTTGGCATCGTGATAAGAGGAATTTTGACGGAAAACTTGAGGAAAGATGTCAACCTATTCCATTGAATGGAATTGATATTGAGAATATGTTGCGTGATTTTCCAAATGCATTTGGAAAGAAGCAAAAGAAACCAAGGCGTGATGTGGATGATCCGACTCCGTGGAGAAAGAAACCCATATTTTTTGATTTGCCATATTGGAAGCATTGCTCTAATCGCCATAATCTTGATGTAATGCATATTGAGAAAAATGTCTTTGATAATGTCATTGCGACGTTATTAGACATTTCTCAGAAGACCAAGGATAATGTGAGTGCTCGTCGAGATTTGGTAGAACTTAATCTGATGCCAGAGCTCCAACCAATAGAATTGGAAGATGGTAGTGAAGAATTTCCAAGATCTCGCTTTTGGATGTCATTGGAGCAAAAGCGTAAGTTCTGCCAGGTTATAAAAAATGCTAAGCTTCCTCAAGGTTATGCTCCCAACCTTAGTCGTTGTGTGCAAGTTGGAGAAAGGAAAATAGCAGGCTACAAAAGCCACGATGCTCATTTTATGATGAATTATCATCTTCCAATTGCTGTGAAGACAATATTACCCAAGATGTTGCTAGTCCTTTGATAAGAATTTGTGCTTTTTTCAAAGGTGTATGGAGTAAAACTATTGATCCTCGAGGTCTTGGAAAATTGCAATCCGAGATAGTTGAAACTCTATGCCTACTTGAGAGGATTTTTCCACCTGCTTTTTTTGATATAATGGAACATTTACCCATACACTTAGTAGACCAAATTAATTAAGTTGGGTGGACCTGTGAGTTCAAGGTGTATGTATGGAATTGAGAGGAATCTTCATGAAATGAAACAAGATGTTCAAAACAACGCTCGCCCAGAAGGCTCAATGGCAGAAGGATACCAAGCTAAAGAATGTGTTGCTTTCATAGCTAGATTTTTGAAACGATCAAGCAAAGCCACACCCGAAGTTAATGAGTGTGATACCTCAAAATCATTTTTCCCGAAGGTAGGACGTCCTATCAAAGGAAAAGGAAGGACCTCAATGAAAAAAAATCGTGGACACATAATTGATCGCATTACATGGGCACAAGCGCATCGTTATGTCTTGTTCAATTGTGATTGTGAGGAAGTTGAGAAATATATAAGGTAAGATTTGTAACCATAATATAGGTTTATTATTATTATTATTATTATTATTATTATTATTATTATTATTATTATTATTATTATTTTTAAATGTTTTCATTCTAACTTTGTCGCCTTAGTAAGATAAATATTTTATTTTTATAGTGAGCATAAGATTTGTGTAAGTACTAAAAGGAAAAGAAAATGGAAAAGTGCTTAAGACCATAGCAAAGATTTCATGGATTGGTTTAGGAAGAAAGTTGATTTGATTCTTAAAGAAGGCCATGATAATATCCAGGACCATATTTTGTGGTTATCAAAAGGTCCCTCTCATGTTGCCAAAAAGCACACAGGGTACTCAGTTAACGACTATAGGTTTCATACCACAAAGAGAGATGCAAATTACGTAACTCAAAACAGTGGCGTCACTCTAATAGCCACTACACATAGCTTTGCAAGCTCCAAAGATCAAAATCCTATTGTGGGAAATGTTAATTATTTTGGTTCAGTAACAGAAATCATTGAGATATCCTATCATGGTCATTTCAGTGTTGTCTTATTTAGATGTCAATGGTTTCACTCAGAAAAGGATGATGATGACCTCATTACGTTTAATATGAATAAGACCGTTTCTAAAGAAGAACATTTTATCTTAGCAAATCAAGTGTTTTATGTAGAAGATTTGAATAGAGAAGGGTGGCATTATGCTATTCAAATCCCTCCTAGAGAGTTTTCAGATGGTATTAACATACATTTTTTTAATACTTCACTCTATGTTATAAATGAGCTTATTTTACATTGTAATTCGTTTCAGTTTATTATATTTACATTCAAAATTAACATACTTCCATTTTTTTTCCCAGATGAAACGGAGTAGACCTAAATTTTCTGCTTCCAAAAATCAGCTTACGGAATTGAATATGAGCTGCAACGGCTTCAAAAACTGAAAGACAATGCAGAAAGAATGGAAGCCCTAGGAACGACATCTCTTGCTAATAAGATACTTGAAGACAAAACAAAAGCATTATTTTGTCCAAGTGCAATGCTGAATAGTACACCAGAAAATGAGGATGATGCCTCTACGTCGGAATATGATGGTGAAAATGAGGTTGAAACTGACAATCTCACTTCTGGAAAAAGAAAAGCCAGTAAACAGGTGTGTACTTCTATTTTTTCATTTATACAGGCTGTTTTTATTGTTTATCACGGTTTACATGTAATTAGTAATGCTTTATTTTCCCTTTGTTTTATAGGTTCCAAAGCAAGTAAATAAATCATCACTTCGCCCCAAAACTATGGCTGATGTTGTGGAAGTGAATAGCCGTAAGAAGCATGCTGTTGATGAAGTTCAGAACATTCACTCACTTAAGGTTGCTAGAGTTCAAGATCAATGCATCCAAAAGAAGGAGCAAGTTATCTCAGAAAAGAAGGGATCAAAACGAGCGTTCTGTTCTCCTGGTTCCATGTCAGCGTACCTCGAGTTCCGGAAAAAGCAAAAAGAAAATAATGACGCATTTGTAGCTAGTTATCAGTCATTGAATGATTCTCTTACAAGAAACACAAGGATTTGTGGCGCTGCATTTAATGAGAATGACAATGATGATGCGGATGCACTAAGTAGGTGGCTTGATGAAGCGGATGCACTGAATGAGAATGATGATGATGTTGGTAATGAACATGAAGGTGTTCAAGAATTAGAAGATGACCTTCTATCTAACTATGGAAGGGAAGGAATGCAAGGTATTGTTTTTCTCTTACTTCCTCCCCAACTACCTCTCCTTCTTGTTCAGTCCCTTAGCTTTTTTTTCCCTTTCTTTTTTCCTCCTGTTTTTCCTTTATTTTTTCCTCTTGTTTTTCCTTTCTTTTTTCCTCCTGTTTTATGTGTTTTCCATCTACATGGGGATTTTTTTTTAATTTTATGCCAAAGATTTGGTTATTTGGATGCCCACTGAAAATCTTAAATTTCTTCTGAACATACTATGGTTTTACTATTATATGCGTAAATTAGAAATAATCTGATGACATATCACAAACTGAATGAATTGGTGCCTGTTAAATAATAATACACAAATTTGTATTACAGGAGAGCTAATAGGGGGTTTTACAGACCTCTTTTTCTGGTATAATCCTTTTGAGCTCAGTCATCAAAACTAGGTCAACAAAACTACGAAGGGCATGGACTTCAGGATTCCAATTACCATCAAACCACTCTCTTGTTTGTGTTTAGTTCATTTATATAGTTGCCCATGTGCTTTCATGTCATAACTATGTTAGACACAAGAAACAGAATATTCGAGCATGAACTATAATTATCAGCGAAGACTTAGGGGATTCCCAGTTAAACTCCTAGATATGCACATCACTCTCATTAACTTTGGTATTTCTTCTGTCTTAGCGTAAATTTTGGAAATTCGGATAAAAAATTAGTGAGAGTGACATGCATATGTAGGAGGTAAACCTGCATTTTTCCGTTAGGACTCAAATATTTTTGTACTATGTAGTGAGTAACTGAGTACTAATCTGAGAAGCTTGCCTTAAATTTTGTACGTTCAATTAGATGAAAGACCAACACATCGCCCTCAAGCAATTCATGATAGATGGAAAATCCCCTCCATCCGCTTTTCTATGTTTGTCTAAAACTTAATCTGTAGCTGTAAAAGAGAATTCAGATATTATCTGATTCAGAGCCCTTTTCTTGTGGAATGTTATTGCTCGGAATGAGACTTGCGGTTCAATTCTTCGTCATATTTCTATTAATTTCCTGGATATTTAGATGGATGACTATCTGTTTATGAGTGTGATCTTATTGTCATGTTTCTATGTGATTATAGAGAAGACTACAAATTTGGAAATTTAGTAGATTGTTGGCTTTCTAAGTTTGTCTTCTTTTGCCTGAATAAAAATCTGTCTTCTTATGATGTGATTTATTGTAATTTTTGTGAAGTATCTTGAATTTTTTTTCTTGATTTGACTGAACATTCAATGCTCAGTGCGTGTTCATGTTGGTCTTTTCAGCTTTAGCAAAAACCTTTTAAGTAAAAAATTGCCGGGAATAATTTTGACGATAAGTTATTGTATGTTGTGGTGGAAAAAGCATATGTTCCCAGCCTGCCACAGTGCATCCTACAACTTCTAAGATTCAAATAATCATAAGTTTTTGTATGTTGGACATACATCTGTGGACTGTTTGGGTCTACAGGCACTGAACCAGGGTCTATTGAGCAGAGGAATCCATCATTTTTGTGTATAGTTGTATTCTATTATGTGTATAGACTGAGTAGGAGCCTGTTCCACAAAATAGATTTTCAAAAACACAAAAACAAGCAACCTAGACACCTTCTCAATGAAAAAAACAGACCTCTATCTTGTAACATGTTTCTTACAAATGTGCACAGAAACAGAACCAGAAAAAGAACTTGAAAAAGCTCCTAACAGAAAAAGGCATCGAGGTCCAACAATGCTACCCAAGGTTCATGCACGAACAAGAGACGAGCGTGAAGTTATTATTTTAAACTCACTTGGCCAACCAGTTGGACCTACACGGGAAATTGTTCAGGAGTTCAAGCAATTCTTGGGTATTGTGGCAAGGGATTCTGAACTTGCACCACTAAATTATATTAACTTTCCAAGTCTACCCACACTTCACAAAATGTGGGAGTATGTCCAAGTACGTAGTATTATAATTCATTTTGTTGGATTTCATTTTCTACATAATTAATTCCTCGTTAATAATTGGACCTCCATATGCTACATACATGTTACATACTAATGTTTTATATTCATGATTTGTTTAGGAAAAATATATGGTTCCTGAAGCAGGAAGAGAATGGGTGATGCAGGCTATCAATGGAAGCTGGAAAGCTCATAAATGCTTTACTAAGAGGAACTACTTCTCTGCATATCCCACTGATGCTTTACGATGGTTTCATAAGCCAGACACAATTTCAGAACCTCAATTTAGAGAGCTTTTGCAATACTGGCATTCTAAAGAGGCTGAGGTATTATGTATATGGTTTTGAGCTGGTTTTGTGCAATATTGACATAGTTTCATGACAAAAAAAGTCACTCTTTCAGTTTACTGTTTTTATGATCGCCTTTGTTTTCGGAGTTGTTTTTACTTTGCAAGCTACTATTTACTTTCATAGCCTGATATAGATTATGTCTTTCTTGGGTTATGAGGCCTGATATAAACTATTTACATGATTTTTGCTACCATCTTTCCTATTGTATTAATATTAGAAAATAGATACTTATTCGATATTTTACGTGGTTCAAATTTATAAATCTTGATTGTGTTTTCACATAGGAAATCAGTAAAATCAACAAAGACAATCGCCAACTGTTAGATGATATGCACACTATGGGCCGTAACTCTTACGCAATTTTACGCCATAAGTTGGTAAATAATTCATCTCATTTCTAGGCAATTTTATTAACTTTATAATCTTTATTTTACAATCACTACATGTACTACATGAGATTTTCACCCCTGTCCTTTAATTATTTGTAATAATCACTTCAATTTTATGTATTTATGTTTCCACAGAAACAACAGGATCCTGATAAGCAAGAACCTTCTCAAACAAGGGTCTATAAGGAGTCAAGAAAAAGAACGGTGGGAAGGAAATACCTTACCAACCATGAAAAAATAGAAGAGAATATTGTGAGTTAACATTTTAGATGTATGTTATATTTGTTTAATTTTGATAAATAATAAGTAGGTGGCTTTATTTCCCTAAATAGGCTAAAATGGATGCTTTGGAGTCTTCCCAACATGAAGATCAAGATGGTAGTAACTCCAAGGACCCTTACTCTGAAGTGATTCCAGATCCTAAGCGCAAAAGCCGTGTACGCTTACAAGGAAAAGGTGTAAAAAAGTCGGATTTGAAGAAAAAAGATAAAAAGTCAGATTTCATATTCCCGACAGAATTTTTAGAAAGTATGCAATCTCAATTAGTACAACAACTTGCACCAAGCGCAACAACTGCAATTTTGACTCAACTTTGGGATGCTAACCCTGGGATCAATCTTGTTATTCCTGATTTTGCGATTCCATCGGCTCCAAAGGATGCATCTAGTGCGCCACATCTTCTTGTTGACCAAAATGGGCAATCTTCTAAATCTGGTGCCACAATTAATCAGGTAACATAAAATATTTTCTATTGCTTATCTCTAGATTTTTTTTGTTTGCTGGTGACCTGGGAACCTACTGTTGAAATGTTGCTGTTGTTGATGTCTTTTTATAGCCTGCTGCATTTCTAAATTATCAATCAATAAGGACAAGATTCTTAAGTTAGATTCTTGAGTTACTACTCGCACTTTCTGTTTTCATCATACTACTTGAAGTCGTACTACTTGAAATAGCTGCGCTCATCATCTCTGTTTACTATTGTTGTTTTCCCTGTCATTAGCTCCAACAGAACAACCCCAAAGCTGTAAACATCGCCTTTTTCATGCGCCTTTTTTTTTTTTTTTTTTAGGGATCAGAATTGCAGTTTTAAGTTTAGGACTAACAGGAATGTAACTACACACTACATCATTTCTCAGAGTAAGAAACATAATTCATAATTACATAAAGTTAATTAGTCTCATGCTAATCCAAAAAGTATCTTCCAAACTGAAACTCCCTACAAATACCTGTCCAACCAAGTAAGAAGCACCAAAACCCCCTTTCTACCACCCAAAATCAGCTACCATTGCTCGAAATTCTTTGTTTAGAAAAATGTTAGCGGGTTTCACATCTCTATGAACTATAGGCGGGCTACAACCATGATGCAAGTAATCCAGTCCTAATATATAGAGTTACACAACAAATTAGTGATCTGATTAAAAAAATATTGCCTAATTACGAACCTCAGTGCTAAATTGCTTAGGGGCCTCGGTATTTGAGAACACCTTGACTGCTAATGACATCCCATAGGAAGTAGTGGCACGGGATTTTTCGGTTTAGAAGGATTTTTTTATGAGTGGGACTTGGAAAGGAGCATACAAACTTGATAGCTAGTTCTTCAGGTTATTTACTTCTGCTCCTTTTATATCCAATTCCTAACCCTCAACTTTTTCCTATTTCCACCTTTTTGAGAAAGGTTACGCATGTTTGAAGAAACTTAATACTTGAAAAAGCTCCACCTTTTTTATAGCATGCCATGGTATGTGTATACTGTATACGCATGTTTGAAGAAACTTAATACTTGTGAGAATTTTTTGGCTTGAAGGCTACGTGTTATCTCCTTATGTGTGTCCTTGTGTTGTGCTAATGGAGAGGCACTAGACTCGTTTTCATGGACGGTGTTCCTCAGAGTCTCAGACATAGGCTATTTGGGGGGGGGGGTTAGCTGGGTTGTTCCTGTTACTGTTTTTGGTCATAATCAGGCGCAGTATAAAAAAAAATTTAAGCAATGTACGGGGGCATTAATTTTCTGCACCGTTTTGATTTTTTTTTTTTTTTTTTTTTTTTTTTTTTTTTATGGGAGAAGAATGATAAGGAAATTCTTGGTATAAATTTTGGCATCTTTACAGACTTACAGTTTTTAGCTTCTCTTAGGTGCACACTTCTAACAATTTTCCTAATGTGCCCCTTCCAGAAATAATGGTGGCAACTTAATTAGTTCACCTACAGTGCATGAATCTGGTGCTTTTGATTCCAGAATACCTTTGACTACTACTTAGTTCTATTTCTTGTTGGTTATTTAGCTAGTACTTTGTTATATTCCGGGGTGCTATTTTGTTTTTCAAACTTGGAATGCTTATCTTTTGGTAATTAATGTGGCTACTGCTACTATAAATTAATAATATTTTCCTTTCTGTGTAAAAAAAAAAAATTTCTTTGTTGCCATCTTTTAAACAACCATAATCTGAGCTATGTTGATTGTGGCCTTGGTCTATTATAATTTATAATTTAGTTTAATTATATTTCTTTTATTTTTTTCAATTTTACGTGTAGGTGCATGGGGAGTCAAATGGAGCGGAAGTATAGTGACTAGCCATCTAACAAATGGTGCATATATGTTGGCGACTCTTATTCAAGTTCCGGCTTTGTGAAGATTTGGATATTTCGGCTTATATATATGTTGACAATTTGTATTTTGGATGATCAAATTAATTATCTAACTTTTATTTATTATTAGTACGGTATGTCATATCAAAAATAGGCAAGTAATATTTTGTAATGTACGTATTTTGCATTATAATTATTATATATAAATGATACTTTAATTTGTTTATGTTAGTATATTTAGATTTGTACCGACTAATTAATATTATATTACCATTCCATCCCCCCCCCCCAACAAAAAAAAAAAAAAACCCAATGATTAATCTGTTGCAGTAGATACGTACTCCTACCATTGTATTAATTAGCTTCATCCGTTGCAATAGGTTCAATTTCATCATAATTATTAGTCAGTACTCTATTGCCACGGATAAGTTATGCCGTTGCAATAGGTTCAATTTCATCATAATTATTAGTTAGTACTCTATAGCCACTGATAAGTTATGCCGTTGCAACAGGTATTGGTCTATTGCCACGGATCAGTGGTGCCGTGGCATTAGGTGTCATAAGCCGTTGCATTAGACCTACTGCAACGCCAGCAGATGCCACGGTACATGGCCGTTGCATTAGGCCTAATGCCACGGATTTTGATGCCTAATGCAACGGATTTAGGGGTTGCAATAGATCAAAAATGTAGTAGTGGAGGTATTGTCTCTCCCCTTTGTAACTCTTTCGATCATTTTACCGTCTGTATATATTGCATTGAATAATGGACTCACCCACAACACACACGGCACAGTCTAGGACAGTAGTCAGCCGATCTCTTGGTACGGCTGAGTCTAGGATTGGGGGTGCCGCCTGGGGGTGTTTGGACCACCCTTGCTCTTCCTCGAATCCGACCGTCTCTGAGCATGTGCAGGACAATATGGCTTGGACGAAGCGGACGACATTTGACCAGAATACAGATCAGACCGGTCAGCTGAGGCTCCGGCTAACAGAGAATTTGACTATCTTCAAGGTGCACCTAGCACTCCGAATGATGACATTTTTTAGGACTCTGATCAAGGAGACGGCGATGAGGCTGTCTAACGATCTGACTCAAAGGAGTCGACCTCATAGCAGGCGGATGCCGCCAGTGAGGAGGATGAGGCGTAAAAGTGGCCATCTATAACTAACCCAACTGAGGCGCATATGTCTGCCAGGGATATAGCCACCCTTACAGCAAGCTTCCCCGCCTTTGTAGAGAAATGCCCAGTGGGGGATAGGTGGGAAATAATTGTACCGCCTGCTGAGGCGACAGACGTCTGGGATGACGATATTGAACATGCTGACAATTATTTCGGTTGTTGTGAGGCGACATTCAAAGCCGGCTTCCAGTTCCCCCTCCATGACACAATCAAAGCCATCTTAAGGGGCTATGATATTGGAGTATGGCAACTCACCCCAAATTCCTGGGTGAACATCATTAGCTATATTGCCGCCTGCGAGATGCAGGACATAACGCCTAGCTGGAAGGCGTTTGCACATATGCACTACTTAAGCTGTGCCCTAGGCGGCTGGAAGGCGTGGTACACTTTAACCACACCACGCATCTGGAGTATATGATGACACTAGATAAACCGTCTAAGTGGAGTAGCTGGAAAAGCAAATTCTACTTGATTTCCTCTCCATCCAGACGTCTAAACCGTCTGCTATGCCAGTACAATAAGGCATCGGCTCTCTTGGGAAAAAAGTGTGCCCTTCCGTGTGTCCCTGAAGAGGCTTGGGCACAAATAATAGAGCTGGAGTTTTTAAAGAAGACCACCATGCCTCTGGATGAAGGCACTGAAATAATTGTACCCAAGAACTGGGTACTCCATCCGGATTGGCTCAAGGATGAGGCTTTCCTCTCCGCCTGTGGTCTTAGTACCTTTTATGATAGACGTACGTAGACCACTTAACCGGCACTTTAGTGCCGCCTCTATGATTCTGTGATTTTGTTTTGTATTTAACCAACCGGTTTTCCTTTTGCAGAAAAAAGTATAGAAATGGTTGACTCTGCAAAGACACCTCCCAGGTCAACAGCCCAGATCCGAAAGGATCAACTTGAAAAGAAAAGGGCCCAACTGGCATCCAAGGATGATTGGGTGAGCTCCGGTTGTGTCCTTTAACTTATAAACATTTATTGTCATCAGACGGCTTTTAACCGGTTGTGACCCTTGTGTTTGACTTTTAGGGTGGAAGTAAGAACGTTCCACGTTCCATCTCAAAGATGCTCAAACGGAATGCTGATGAACCTTCCAAAGCTCCCTCTACGGCAAGGAAAACCCCGTCTGCCTAGACGACATCATCAAGGCCGCCTGTTCAGGGCAGACCAACTTCTGCAGGCAAAAGCCTAAAGTATCTCAGTCTAAGCACTGAGTCGGCTGGCAAAGAGTCGGGCGTCCTTAAGACGCCGAAAGGTGGCATGCCACTCAATGCTACATTTTGTTCTGCAGCGGCTGGGGGTGGGGTGACCCCTCAGTCAAAACCTCAAGGTATGACTTACAGCTTTGATCCCCATGGCCGCTTGGGCCTATGCGATTCAAATCTCAGGTTACCCAATCGGGGGATTCCTCTAGCAGCCGGCATAATATAGGTGTCGCGTATGCTGATATCTCACCACATCATTCTATTGGTGCAGATGCTTCTCCATGGTGGCCTGACCTCCAGCAATATTCCAGGTGGATGCTGATGTGCCTCACCCAGTCTGAGAAGGACTCGATCCTGGGGGTGCATCAGGTCAACATGGACTGCATTAATGCCTTGCTTACTAAGGTAACTTAACTTTTTGCCGGCTGTGTTAACTGAGCTAAATTAACCTTTTGCCGGCTGAGGTATCTGAGGTGAATTAACTTTTTGCCGGTTGTGCTTTGCAAGTAATGCTGAGAGTGGAAGGGCTCAAAGCCCCATTTAAAAAGAAGCAAGAGGAGGTAAGAGACGCCAATAAACGGGCGGCTGATGTCCTTGATCTTGCTCAATATCGATGTACTATGAATGATATTGAGATTAAAGCCAAAGAGATGAAATAGGAGGAGCTGGTTAAGGAGCTCACGACTGTTGTGGAGACGGTCAATAATAAGGCGTCTGACCTTGAGCTTCAGCTTAAAAATGCTCAGTCAGATCTCAAGGCACTAGAGGATGCTGACAAAGAGAATACCCAACTTCGGGCAGACGTCTCTCGACTGAAGGATGAGTTGGTCTAGGTGCATAATGACCATATGGCTGAGCTTGCGGCTAAGCAAGAGCAGTTGGTGGATGAGAATGAACGAGATTACGAACCTCGCATGAAAATAACTTGGAATCTCATTCATCCGGACTACGATTGGGAGTTCTTCAACTTAAGGTATAAGTATGCCACTAAGGTACACTAGGCGAAAAACATAAATAGGCAGCGAGAAATGCGCACCGATTTTCAAAATTCGGCGGGGAAAAAAATAGGTTGGATTTGAGGAAAGAGAATTCAAACCGGTTCGGTTCAAACTGGTGCGAAATGTTTTAAAAAATTAAAAAAAATAAAAATTCGCCCTTATTCTTCCTTCTCTTTCTCTTTTTCGTTTTCCCACTTCACTTCATTCTTTCATTCTTTCTCTTTCTCGTTCCCTCCTCTTTGCCGCCACTTGCACCAAAACCCCCTCCATCACTGCCGCCACCTGCCTCGGAACTCCCTCCACCACATTCGCCTCCTCCATCGCGAGCAACATACGCTAGTGGAGGTTCCTTTCCTTCTTCATTCTCCTCTTAGCAGTGACATAGGAGCAGCCCCGAGGTTCACCACAGTCGTTGCGCCACAGCCCCGAGGTTTGCCACAGCCGCCGCGCTACAACCCCGAGGTTTGCCACAACCCCTGAGGTTCGCCACATCCCGAATGTTCTCTACAACCGCCGCGCCACAGCCGCCATTCCTTAGCCCCGAGGTTCTCTACTTATATTTTCTTTTGCATTTTGAACAATTATTGGGCATATGAGCAAACTTACAGTTAGGGTTTCTTAATAATTTAACCCTAAATTTGTGAATATTAAGTGATTTTAATGGGTAATTTTGAATAAATTAGAGATTAGTATATAAAATATAATGTGGTATGTAAAATAAACCTTGTTTGTTAGTTGAATTTTAATGTGGAACAATTATAAACCTTATTAGTTAGTTGAATTTTGGTTTGTAAAATATAATGTGGTTGAATTTAGCTTTAAAAAATTATATTAATGCCCGAATTTCTGATTTTGTATGAATTGGTGGTTATCAATTGCGTTATATATTAGTGATTAGCAATTGTGTTAAAAATTAGCGAATAAATTAGTGAAATTACATGAATTACTTTAAATTTTAAATAAATTAGTGATTAGCAATTGTTAGTTTGATGAATGATGTGTTATAGTTTAGCAATGTATGTAGGTTCTAATTAATTACTAACTTTTGTTTCTTTTTGTTTTTTTGTAGATTCATATGTGAAGCACAAGTTTAGCTTGAAGACTACATATTTAGCTCAAGTGGGAAGTTAGAAAAAGTACATCCATTGTACTTGCTATATTGGTATGAATTATAAACTTTACTAAGCTATATTTTTTTCTCTTTATCCATTTAATAAAAGTTTTTTCATGCTATTACAACTTGTGTATTGTTTAATGACAAATAAATACAACAATATATAAAATGCTTGCATCATCATATACCTAGATACTCGTTCAAGGCTTTCTCATTAGGAGAAAGTCTTGAATAGTCCTCGGTTGGGACTGTTCTTGAACGTTTACTCTCACTTAGGTGGTGAATGTATGTCTTTTTTTTTCGATTTTAAGGAACATCTTGGCTTACCATTTCCTCACCATGTTCTCTGGGTACATATGTGGGTAAGTAATTATCTAAATCGTGTACTTGGAGAACTGGGGGGAAATGCTGCCAAATTTTCCTTAAAATTGGAAAGTTGACATACATTCACTAGTGAGATTAGACGTTCAAGGATGGGTTAGGTTGGAGTGATAAGGACCCTTTGGAAGCATGCATTTTTTCACTATATGAATGGTATATGCATGTTGTGTGTTTGAATTTGATTTACATAATATATGTAGCAATTATACAGTATTCATAATATGTTGCTATGTTTAGAGACAATTTACTAAATGGAGAAGGATCGTGGTTGGATGTATGGTAGACGTGATACATTGGAATTCTTTCATGGGGTTCAAGAGTTTTGCGAGAGGGCTTCATCTTATCAGCATAGAATGGGTGTCGATTGCCTCTATTGTCCTTGTGTTGATTGTAATAATGTGAAG